GTTACGAGTTGGTCATAGATGGATGCTTTGGATCGTTAGATCCGGATCCAATACCTTCTTGTTAAAAATTGCATAAAGGCGAAATGTTCGAATCTTTATTCTTTTGGAAAGAAGAAAGAATCACAAAGTTGTTGAGGTTAATTCACTTAGATGTTAGTGGCACTTGTCCACAACATAATACTACTCATGTTGTATGACATTCACCGAAGATCACTCTCGGTTGGACTATAGTTTATTTTGAATAAACATAAGTCCGAATACTTTGCAAAAGGTTTCAAAGAATTCAAGAAATGTAAGTAGATGAGTAAGACGTCTAAAGTATTTACCTCCTTAGATTTGATCCAAGGAAAAAGTAACACTTTAGATTAATTTCCTTGAAAAATATCAAGGAAAGTAGCATCATAAGATAATGAATTTCTCCATTAGGAAGAGAATGAACATAAATAAGATTTAGTTCGTTGGACATTATCAATTACCCATATATATATGATATATACTTCTAAGACATGTTAGTTGTAAGAAGATCCATCCATCATGGATCTTAGCAAGCTAGTGGGAGCTATAAGCGTCTTATGAGAAAAGATCAATTGTTTGATTTCTCATAAAGATGTAAATGAATCTTTTGTTTACTAGGTTTACAAAAGATTAGTGGGAGTTGATCATATTCCTAAATTAGAATATATATATACATGATATATATTAATTTTGAAAATGAAAGGAATTCTTCATCGTTAAAGTTATGACTTTAAACATTCTATAATGATAGAATGTATATGGGAGACATAGTCTATATACATGGGATGGAAATCTATAATGATAGATTTCAAGATATAATTGGATTATATCAATCCCTAAAATAGACAAGAGATGCTAGGAAGTTTCTCATATGATGATAAACTTCAATTAGAATGACAATTCTAGTGAGACTAGGAAGTTGTTCTTCTCAAAGGGAATGTACCCTTTGACTCCCAAAGAAATAATGCGTAAATAGAATCCTTTATGCATACGCAGAAAGGTGATTTATGTATTTCATATTGTATGAAAACATTGATATAAGTCGTACCTAGAACGGTACAAGATGATATCAGTCCAAGCCCAGGATCAGAACCATGGCAACTGTCAAGTGAATCCTTAGGTATTTAAGAAATACTAAGGATGGATTCCTCAAGAATGAGGAAGAATTAGAGTAACGTAATGGAAGCGTAAATGTATTAGATTATGAATCTAATCCATCATAGAATATCTCTTCATTATGAATGAAGTGATAAAGAGATATCTCTTTATTATGACTAAAGAGATATTTGGGTGGAAACGTTAAAAGTAAATGACTTTAATGTGTTCCATCATGTATGCAAAATATATTGCCATATAGAAGCTTACAACATTGTTGTTTGGATGGGAAAGTTCATTCATGAACTCTCCATTCGGTTCCAACCAGAAAGTGTATGACACTAATGGGGCGATAGCTCAAGCCAGGGAATCAAGGTCTCATCAAGGTCCGAACTCAAATGAGAGACTGAACCACATGATTGAGAATCATGTATAATGGTGACGTCGTTATTCTCAAGGTTGCTTCTATGGATAACATATAGATATCCATTGTCTAGGCCTACTACTCAGCCATTTATGAAATGAATTACAGAAGAGGTATCATCAATGATGACTAAGCTGATTGGCTCTAGTGCAAGTGGGAGATTGTTGGAAATGTGCCCTAAAACCAATCATATGATGATACTTTACGGACATTTCAAACTAATATAGTTTAAAGGGCAAACATTATTGTTTGAGCCGTCTCATATAAATGTTATATGCTTAAACGATAAGTCCAAGGAATATGTGATTGGAAGAATGCGATCTAAAGAAGTTAGATTCATGAGACCATTCTTTCGTTGACACATCCTAAACGTTCCTGATCATAGGATTGTCAATTGGGCATTGACAGTCCGTTAAGATCAGTACGTGCTATGTCTTCTCTCAGGGAGAGTGACTAGTCTCGAGTCATTGGTGTGTGTGACATCAAGACAAGTACGTAGGTGCTCAATAGAGAATGAGTTCACTGAACACGATCAACGAAGAGTTCTCATATTCATGTCACATGAGAACTCATGGTTGGGATAATGCAAATTAGTCTTTTGACCTGAGGCATCACAGTTGTCTTGTGGTTAGGTCCTTAATCTTTGATTATGTCAACGTCACTCTATCAGGGTGTCCACGGCATCGTTGGGGTTAAGCCACTTAGCCATGGAGGCAAGTGAATGCGCAACAAGGGATCTCTAACCTTCAAACTATTTGAGGGAGAATACTCTATGATATGATTTGGAATCTCTGGCCAGAGTATGAATGAGATGTTGGAATGCGTTCCAGATCACATTCAAGGTAATCATATAAGTACAAAGATTCACATTGGATAGTAGACATGAATAAACTATCAAACCAAACAATGTGGTCAAGAGTATTGTATTAGAGAAAGACCGTATTGCATTTGTAATCCTAAACTGAATAGGTTCTCCACCTCTTCTGATTAGCTTGGGTAACCATGATATGCTGCTAGGTGTCACTCATGGTTTGTGGAAGCCCTAAAAGTGTATTATCACTAACGGGAGAATTGAAAGTAAGTTTCAATTCACAATCGATTTGAAAGAGTTTGAATCGCCCACTGCCTCGCTAAAAGGAACCTAATGGATCGTACACCGTGTAAGGTAGAGATTGAAGATTCAACGGAGATGAGTAAGAATAATTAAATGGTTTAATTATTTTCTAAGGCTAGGATTAATTAATATGTTAATTAATCAAACGAATAAGTTCGTTAAAGACCTCGGGTTAGTTTAGGGCCGCAAGGCCCAATGGGATTTGAATGTCAAGCCCATTAACTCAAGTTGTATGACAACTTGAATAAAACAAAGGGCTTGAAAGCCCAATAAACCTATAGGCTAGCCATGTGTAAAAGAATAGGGCTTTTGGTCCATTAGGTCACTTATTTGAAGAGACTATATAAAGGACTTTATAGCCTAAAATTTACTAAGGGTTATTTTTGGGGGAAAGGATGAGAACACAAGCTCTCTTTTCTCTCTAAAATTTCAGCCACCCTTGAGGAAAACATCTAGCAATCTTACTTCCTCAAGGTCACTCATTTCTTCTTCAATCTTACCTTGGTGTGGAGACTTAGAGGTTCTCAATTTTGGGAACTTGGAGAAACCTTTTCATCCATCCAAATCCATGGATCTAAGATGCAAGGAATGAAGGCCCTCTCTTTGGGTGATTAGCCTTTGCTTATGCAAAGAGGAATCTACAAAGGTATTGATTTCTCAACTCACTTTGTTTTGAGTTGAGTCTTGGTTCACCTATCTACTAGGCTTTGAATTTCATGGGTAAATGTTTTGTTTTAAGTGCATACAAGCATGATTCCGCCTTTAATTGTTAATTGCATGCTATTGATGTTGCTTAAATGAACATGTTTTTCACAAATCTTCCTTCAGTTTTACTCTTGGGATGATGGGCTACAAGTTTCAGATGGTGGCGATGGTCGTCACTTAGTTGATCTGCCTGAAAACGAATAGAGCCAGTGTAACCCTAAAAAAATTGCGGCCTTACACTGCCGTGTGGGGTGATTTATCGGGATGGTTCTAGGTTGGGTTTTGTAGGGAAGTGAGAGCTTCAATTTTGGATAAGTGGTGCCGACTAATTCCGCAAGAGAGACAGGAAATTGAGTTGGAAAATTCGAAAGGGAAACGGTCGGTAAGAGTCGCAGGTCAGTGGTTTGGGTTTTAGGTTCCTAAAATGGATAGTTCTATTTCTATCAAGTACCAAAACAGAAACATATTATTTATGGTAAGTGCAAAGAACCAAAATGCCCCTCACTTTGGACGCTTGTAATTTCTTCGTTTCAACTCCGATTCGCGAACAATTTGCGCCTAAACGTTTTTTGCTCTATCCATCTATTCTAAACCCACCTCCAAACACAAAATCAAATTTTAAAATGACCAAAATGCCCTTGAAATCATATTTTCCAAATTGTAAAATAAATAAACATAAATTTCGAGACGAGATGTATGCTTTTTATTACATAATTATGACAAAAAAAAAAAACATTACTCATGATAGTGGTGGTTCAAGGTTCAAAGTATTGTGAATTTAAACCCTAAATTGAGTTGATTCTTACTAAAACGTTTGATTAAATAGTCTGAATTCTACGTATTTTCATGACAACATAAGACATACGAGAGAACATTACACCATAATGTATCGCATTGGTTTTGGGTTGTGAAGATGAAGGAAGGTTGTTATCTATTTATAACTCTAGCATTATGTGTCTCAATTTATTGTAGACGTACCTTCTGTTATCTAAGATGACCTTCTCAAAAGTGGAACTCTTTATGGACTTTCTGTAATCTCATGTTTTTACACAATGTTTTATAATATTGGCTCGGGAATTGATTTTAGACTCTGAGGTGGCAAAAAGTCCATAGATAATCCTACTTTTAAGAGAAAGTCCCCTTAATATTTCTCTTTAACAAATTACATCTAAAAAGATCTCAGGTACCGTAAATAATTCATTTCATGTTATTAATGGAGGGAAAATGGGAGGATATAAACATTTTGATCATTAGTTCTTCCTCTTGTACTGCTCATTTTTCAACTTATTCTGTTTTGAAAAAAGAGTAACTAAGCGTACTCATGAGTCATGGCAGTTCGTGAAGGTGCCTTCATGATAGCCGTAGCCCTAGTATGTGTTTCACTTTCATAATTGGCACCCATGATTATCCTCTTTCCACATTGTCACACGAGATTGATTTCGTTATTTTTTACAAGCCGGTATTCCAGATAAAATGAAATCCATTGTGTAAGTTCAGACGTATACAAATAATGCTTTAAACCATTTGAGTTATAGACCTCTTTCATCATTAGATTTTTTTTTTTAGAAACCGTAACGAAATACCATTCCGAATTTGAAACTTGAAAGGAATCAAAAGTTTCTAATGAAATGGTATCCAAATAAGGACTTGAAGGACAACCAGTTGATCATTGTATAACGAAGATTAGAAATTTAAGTTCAAAATATTTCATACATTTTGTTGCCCCTTTTTCTTGACTCATGGCAATAACCCTAAACCCTAAACAACCAAGGCAGAAAATTTAAAGAGAAAAATAGGGGCTGTGTACTTAGAAGGGGTGGAAGTGGTAATTTAGGCCACAAACATCTCTCTCCATGGATTTTCACATTCAACTCTAAGTCTGTTGTGTCCATTGGGGCCTACTACTTGGGACGGAATAATCAAAAGTGGGAGTGGATGAATTATGGGGTATGGGAGTGATTGCTAGGCAGAGGGTGGTGGAGAGGAGGAGGAGCTGAGGTTGTGTTGAAGATCGCGGGCGGCGGCGGCAGAGGGCATTGGTAACACTTGGTGAAGAGGCCAAACGTGTCGATCTGGTGTACAAAGTTCGTAATGCTCGCCCACCCACCGAATCCAAATCCAACTACAAACACCCACACCACCACAAACACATTGATTGTGTATGATCCTATCCATCCTCCTAGGAACCTTGGTGGACTCTCCACAGCATTCTGCATCATCACAAAAACATTACTCAAATTGTGATTAGTAAAAAACCATTGCAAAAAGCTTGTTGCTCTATCCGACTTAAGCATACCATGTCACCAAAAAAAAAAAAAAAACACTGTATACACAGTTACACAAAAAGGGGCCTGAGACTGGTATTAGCAAAACATAGACATATTAACCCTTAAACCGTCACATGATCGATAATGCCAAAGTATAGACCGCTATTAGGGTTTAGGAATTTATGGCCGTAAATCCTAAACGAGACCTATTGTAAATCCTAAACCACATACTGTAAATTAGTACCGGTAACCAACAAAGAGATTTTACCCTAGAGAAGAATCTCTGCTTGAACGCAAAGGGTCCACATACAGTCGGCATCTGGGTATTTAACTGTGCAGAGAGTACGGCACATGCAATGCATCAACTATCAATAAAAGGAAAAACCCAGTTGGTGATTTTCAGAGCACTCCCAGAGGAACTGGATCCTCTCATGAGCTCAAGATGGAGATTCTCATGAGCAATTCATTCGGACCGTTCAAATTTGATTCAACGGCTGCAATTATTATAGCTTTAAAGAAGTCTCTTGTTTAAAACTGTTAGATCAAATTTCAACGGTCTGGATGGACTGCCCAAGAGGATCCTCTCCTGAGCTCAGGAGAGGATCCAGTTCCCTCCCCAGATAAAGGAGCATCAATGCAAGACTGTATCAGGTACGATACCGATATCTGACCCATTGGTGCAGCAAGAATCTCGTGCCTTTTCTGAACTCTACGCACACACATATTCATATTTATTATTTATTGCTTTTTCTCTTGGATTAAGAAATCGAAAGTAGAAAATAATGAATTCCCCAGTTATCCAAATTGATCATACAATTTACAGGTTAAAATATGAAGGAGAGATAGCCGGGTCTGGTCTGCTAGACTGTGACCACACGCTACCTCTCTGTTCTTTTCTTTCTCTCTCTTTTTAATTAAATTCTTATTCTTTTAATGATTATCTTATTGATTAATGGCTTTTTCTTTTTTTTTTTTGGGTCAAAATTTTCACTCTGGTCTGCAGATTTGGACATCATACATGCTATGCAAATGCAATGCAGCTAAAGGTGGTAAATTTGTAAATTCAATGCATGTGTGAGGGTGTAATGGGGTACCCGTACCTCTCTTGCAGCAGCTGATCTGTATGTGAAAATGTGGGCCAGGGCTGGGATAATGTAGACTGTGAAGCTGACTAGGAGTGATCCAACGGTCGAGTTGATGGGTCCAAAGAATGGGAAGATGATGGCCAAGAACCAGATTGGGATCACCACAGGCAGTCTTGCTGCTGCTCTCTTGCACAAGCTTTTGCATTCATGCATGCCTATGGCTTTCTCCCACACAAAGTATAGTGGTGTGCATGCAAACCCAAATGTTATAAACTGCAACACACATCAAAACCCATAATTTAGATCACACGAATTCAACAATAAACACTTGAGAAAATGTTCTCTCGTCAAACTGTTTCAAACCGTGAATCTAGACCACAACGAGTCAGATTTTACAACCTAAGTGTGACGAAAAGCGTAATGAGTTATGTGTATGTGTACATGCCTGGTGGATGAGCATTAAAATGACAGCCATGTCTCTGAAGGGAGATTTAGGGAGGAGAGCGAAAGCGTTGGAGTGGTTAAGAAGCAAGTCTCCAAATGCCCAATACACTGCTGATGCAGAGGGCAGGGTCAATGTCAGCACATACAGGGTAGCAAATAAATATATGGCCTTGAACTTCTGAGGTTTCCACATCGCATGCATGATCTCCCTGCATATCCAATTGCCCCCCACCAAAATTAATCAAATAAAATTCATCATCATCAACAATTAATAATCATTCTAAAAGATAGTGGTCAATAAGTAAATACTGTGCAGGGAAACAAGAAGATTTGATTTTTAGTAAAACTAATGAAAATGATTTGAAAATTTTAAGTTTTAACGAAAAAGGCAAAATAAAAAGTAAAGCGAATAGTATCAAAATTAAGTTTTTAATGTAAAAATGTGATTTTTTGTTAAAGTAAACAATACCATGAGTTTTTCGTTAATGTAAATAGTACTAAGAGTTTTTCGTTATATGATTTTTCTTGAAAATGATTGGTCATTAGATCATGTCCCCAATAACATAAGGTTTAGTCACTTTCAAAATGACGTTAAGCCCCTTGTTCTCTGCTTATTTTTGTCCCATCAAATAGTATCAAAAATTAAAAAAAATTAGATAAACATGTGTAAATTTTGTAAATTAAAAAAAAAAAAGTCACGGGTTTTTCTTTTATCAGCATTTAAAAAACAGTGTAATTTGGTTAATACATTTCAAGTTTGTCCTGGTCTGGATTGATGTTGAAAATTTAAGATGTGTAAAACATAAATTAAAATGCAGAAAAAATAAAACCCAATATCTGAGGGTTGTGTCTTACACAGTAACAGCATGTCCTCCAAAAGTGTAGAGAATGTTTGTGGCCCCAGTGAAGTATAGCACCACCTTAGTCGGACCAGAGTGCTTCACTCCCTCAACCTAGCATCAAAATTTTCACAGTTTTACTACACCGAAATTACCATGAGCAATGAACACGTACGGAGTTTTTGTCGGGTAATTAGGTGGTTAAAGTTACCAAATTTATTTACCTGGCCATGGAGGAAGGAGGCAATGGTAAGGTACCAAGCAGTGTAAGTGGTCATAACAAGGCCCAAAAATGACCAAACTCTGTAGTTGTGAAATGAAGGGATAAAGACAGTGGTGGCACAGCAAGCTCCGAAGATATAAGTCCAAGTCCTCTTGTCCAGATTATCATTTATGTAATATATATTACTGCAAATTAACAGCAACATTTAGAAAGATGCCCACAGTTGCATGGAAATTAATAAAAAAAATTAGATATTTTGTGGGAGATTTGATTTAAAAAAGGAGATGGAATTAAAGGTAGGGGTCAGAGATGCTTGGGTACCTTGCACAAGCTATCAGTTGAATGACAGATCCAAACAGAAGAAATGTGCAGTTAAATGCCAACCCCACGTTCCTCCAGTGTTTCCCAAGCAGCCCATCAAGAACTTCAAACCACTAATCACCATAAAAGAATTTGACACCAAAATCAAAACCCATGTCAGAATTTGGCCAAAAAACTTGTCTGGAGCACGTCATAAAGATTCACAGTTTAACAACATAACATCCGACGACGCTTATGAATAAAGAGTGAGTTGAAATTTGTACCTGGATGACATGGTTTCTGAAATCAACCTTTTCTCTTTCTTTTCTTGTTCTGTATTCGATATAGAGTGTGCTAATGAGGTAAGCAGTCCAGCTGCCCAGCAAGCCATAGAAAAGCTGGAAGAGAATCCCAGAGAGCATTCCCAGCTGCGAGAACGAGTACGGCAAAGTAAGCAGAACTTGAGCCACCTGCAAAACACACAGACATTAACACAAACACCTCACAAACATAAAAATAAAGATAACCTCTTTCCTACAAAAACACAGACTTTTCACAAACCTGATTAGAAGCACAGCTGAACCAAGCATCATAAGCAGACCCACCATCCCAGAAGAACTTGGAGAGCTTGCTCTTGAAGCTCTTGGCCTTCCCATCTGCCTCCATTTCTACATAATTTCCTACTATCACTGTTTCCACCACCTTATCTGATGACTCCATTGCCTTTTCTCAAATGGGTTGAACTAAAAACTGGGTTTTTGTTATTTGTTCAGTGCAGGAGTGAGGTGGGTTTTGATTTGAATGGTGGGTAAGTTGAGTGACGGTAGGGGTATATATATACAAGACACGAGGTGGGTTCTGGTTCTCGAAGCCTGAGAAAGTCACACTCTCTCTCTCTCTCTCTCCCTCCCTCCTCTCTACCTTTCTCTCTCCTCGTTTTCTCAGTCTGTATGTTTGTGAGAGGTATTTTTGAGAGGAGAGTAAATCCCTTTTGGGGGTTTGTGGGTGGCTTTGACGAAATCTGATGGTTCTCGGGCCCTTTTTGGTAATTAAAATTTGGGGAATTTTTGTTGTTTAGTTCATAATATTTAATTAATATGTGGTGTTAAGTTAATCAAAATTTTGTTTTTAAACTAATTAATTATGTGGAGCGTGAGTGGCTTGTCCGCACGAGTGGGTCTACCCGCTTCCCGAGCTGGCTAGATAATTATTACACTTGTTTAGTTACATAATCACCTTGTTTACTATCCATAATCACCTTCATGCCATACAACTTCTTTACACACACATTTTCTTAAATATAATGTTAACTTACATAACACTGGTTCATGTCTACATTTTCATTCTGTAACACATTACATGAAGATAATATTAACTTACATGAAACTAGTTTATGTTTACGTTTTATTACATGTGGAATGTGCTCTCTCATGTACCCATGCATGCATTTCTTACTATTCATTGAGATTGGAGAGCCAATATTGGATAAAGTACTTACTTTTTAGAAGTGCTTTTAGAAGGAAATTAAAATGAGCAAAGATATGGTTTGGTAAAGGGTAAGATGGTAAAACCCAAAATGCAAGTAGTGTTAAATTTTATTTATTTATTTATTTTTCATATTTGTTGTAGAAGAACAAGGTGCTTAGGGAGGGGGTGGACATGGGGCAAGGGAAAGAGTGAAGGGAGGGAAATTATAACAAAGTAGACCACATGATTGCAGCCAAACGGGCGTGGTCTCTTTACAAGAAGAAGAAAGCTGCTTTTTTCACATGGCTCTTATGCTGCTATTGGCAACCTCAAAACCTCGTCCTCCCTCAATTGCTTTCTGGTGTGGTGTGGTAGACTCGAGAACAGAACCTCCCCACTCCCACTCCCACCACCACCACCACCGCTGCTACTCTTAAAATAAGTCCAAATTCCAACTGGAAATCTCACCTCTTTGCAGTTGACGAAACTTACTTATTTACTCACTCCACAATCTCTCTCACATGGTTCCTTATTGATTTCAAGAGATAATTCACTTTGTGGACAAAATATGTAGCCAATATAAAAACCACTCTCCACAGTTTTTCTTGCTGCATCATGTGCATGCGCTTGGAAAACAGCATCTCCTTTTATATTATCACTCCTAATTAGTTAAGTACTGCTGCATTTTTCTCAATGGCTTGCGGGGATTAATATCTTAAGACATCTTTTAACATGAGACGAGAAGTATATTTCTAGATTAATAAATAGCTTATCACCTATTTTAATTTAGTTAATTATTCAACAATTGTGAGCTAAATGACTTGAACGGAAGACCTTCTCCAGCAAAGTAAAAACAACCTACCTATTTGAATATATGTTATATTAGTCTGACAATATAATATGTAAAGCGTTTGATGGAAGAACACAAACTTTTGATTTGTAATATGTCTAGACTCTGTATAAGATTTTTTTTTATTTTTCAGCTCTTTGTACTTGCAAGAGGAACTACGTACCAACTAGATCCTTTTTTATTTAGTTGATGTATTTTACTCAAAATATAAGAAAACTAGGCATATATTGCACCCCGTGATGACCTACCAAATTGGTGGCTAACCTAGCAGCAAAGTATTGTAGCATATGAACATATATATCAGGTTCTGATACGTCAATGAGATTCTTTGACCGTCCTTTAATTTCCCCATTAACACAAACATGTGAATTGAAACAGACAGCCTTCCTAAACCATGCTTGAATAATACATAACAAAAACAAAACACATAAAGACTAATATTAAATAAACGAAAAATAAAAAACGAATATTAAGAAATATATATTACAGTGTTTTAACCAATTGAGAAACATTAATTTCGGTAACTATCAATAATAATATTACACCAAGAACATATATAATTTTCTCAACTTTTTCACCCTTTCCAAAGCAGTGTGAAGATTTTGAATTCGAACAACAGTCACCTGGAGAGATTATTGATTATCTTCCACCAAATGATGATAAAACCCATTTATGCATATGCTACTGATATTAAGAAATCACACCACGTTATTCATCAGGTGTAAAAAGTTTTGTTTGGGTGCAGGGCAACATATTCATGGGTTTTGTTGGGCACCCAAGTACATCTTATTCTTTGTTTGGGCATGCTTTCTATTCTCTAGGACCAGAAACATTCCCTGTGACTTGTGTCTCCTTTGACTGTGAGCCCTCGGCACCATATGATTCTGCATATATTCTACAAGATTATTCTCACATATTGCATCTTATCATCCGGACCCTATGATGGTATCCGCTGTTCATCATATGATTTGAGATCTAGGAGTACTGTATGCAGATGGATATCTAGGGTTTACATTCCCCTGTCAGATCAACAAGCAGTGCTAGCCGTCGAGTACTGGTTTGATAGAATGTTTGAAAGCAACATCAGATAAAAAATCATGCCCTAGTTAGGTGGCCATTATAGTTTTGTTATGTGAAATTAACAAAAAACTCCAGCCAAGTGCCCGATAAGACATCCCAGGTCACAATTGCCAGTTATCGATGTATATTACTGCATTCATCAATCGTGAGATCACCGTGCTTGCTCGATTGTGTTTAGGATTCACTATTCGTATAAGCATGTCCATTATCTCAGGTTACCGACTCAGACTAATTCTAATATTCATATAGCTAGTGTGACGAGAAGCTAAAACCCAGACAAAGGCACAAAGCATGTTTATCCCTTTTAATTTTGTCTCTGAAATTCTCCTCTCTTGAAACGTCACATGTGTGACAAATCTAGAGACAAAGCATGTCAATTGCTATGCATTTTGTTGCCAAGAAATGTTTTGGAGTCTTTAAGGTTGGGGACCAAAACACAAAAGCCATATCATTGAGATTAATTAATCAGTAATGCTGATTAAGAAGAAACCAAATCTTTCAAAATGTTGAGGAACACCAAAATTGGCAACTAAGTAATTCAAAGAGTGGTAAAGTTTCTTAGCACGCGAGCAGGTCCTTGTAGCTTAAGTCAGCCCTATCATGAACAATAATTTCTTGAACCTTTTTTAGTTCACGTTGCATCAACTATGCAAGAACTGGGTTAACATACTATCATATCAAGTAAGTACTTAGCTAAGTATGTGTCTCGAAATACGAAAAATCTTGATCACACCTTATGACAAAACTCAACGTGATTAACAATTTATCTAAAATTTTGACACGAGAACAATTCCCTCCAAATACAATAGAGAATTGTTATTAACATTCCAAAAATCTCATTATACACTCCTCATAAGTGTATTTTTCTTTTTAATTATATAAAGTTTGAAGTGGCAAATGAGATTATTGGAATACTAATAATAGTTCCCATACAATAACCTCATTAATCTTTGTATCTCTATGAGCAGAAAACATGTTGCATGAATGTGGTTTTCTTCTGTTTTTTTTCTTTCCAAGATTAAGGGAAATATGCTAGTTAAACTCTTACATACGGATTATCCTTACAAAATGATTAAAGCTCCATAATTGGTCAAACTTTTGCTCTTCTTTTTCTTGTTCTGGTCATGAACAATTCATAAGGTTGTCTTTTTGTGCTCATCAGAGAACATCCTTGGCTTTTTGGAAACCCTACAATATTGACCTGAAATTCAACTAGAACAAGTGGGTCCCTTGGTTTTGTGCTAACGATCAATTGAAAATATGGTCAACCCCATTAGCAAAATACAAGAAGTGGGTCAAATTTTATTATTATTGGTGCAAAATAATTGAATTGAAGAAAACATAATGTCCAAAACACAATAATGGTAGATTGGCTTTATGGCCCTCCTTTCTGAGAACAATTTTTGGAGCCAAAGAACCCTTTCTTTAAAAATGTGTACAACTTTGCCACCTTGGGCTGTGGGCAACACATTAAAGCTGCAATTTGACATTGCACAACCATGAAAAGTATAAGGGTATGTTGGATCTAATATTTTTGTTGAATAGACTCTTTATATTGTTTTCAGCCGAGTCTCTAAGCTAAGTAATGGCCTTTTAATTTGAATTTTTTGGCCCAAAGTGACAAATTTATACACAATCGTACATTTGGTATGATGTTGCTACTGGTTTTTGACATAGATACAAAAGGTTTGTGCAAGAACATTGTCCATTTTGGCTTGCAGTCCAAACTATAATTATTGGATCAATGGAATTAGGAAGCTTGAAAAATTAGATGGTAATCCACATTCGTATTCTAATATAGTTTGTGACCTTAATTTACTGAAGAAAAAAAAAAAGAAGAAGTAATTGAGAATCATCGATCGTTGGGATAAAACGATAGTTTATCCCAATTAGAAATACTCCACCTTGATCACTTTTTAAGGTGGAAAAAAAAATCCACACTCCCATTTCTCGTCCTTCTCTTTGCTTGTGTTTCTTAATTCAATCACGTGGATAGAAACAAAAGAAGTAGTGCAAAAGGATAAAAGAGCGAGAAATTATTTTTCTAGCTTTTAAATTTCTTGTAATATAATACTATGAAACTAAATTCAGTACGCCCAAGACCCAAATTTTCATAGGCCATTTTGTGAAGCCCAATTAAATTGGCATGTGATACACAGCCCATGAAAAAGAAATGTATTGGACGGCTGAGATCATCTAGTTATTAGTGGTCCAAGTGTGAAATAAATCATTCCAGTGCGATTTATAATGCTACTCCCGCGCAACATTTCTCTCGTTATTCTGCCGAGAGGATATTCCCAGGATCCTTTTTGTAAGGATTTTGAGGATCTTTTAATCACATTGGTTCATCGTGTATTGTGTAGTAAAAAATTATTGTAAATTTTTTATTTAAAATTGAATATAAATAGTACCTGACAAAAATTGACCACTCCGATATACGATGAGTGGATATGATTGGAGGATCCAAGATCCTCACAAAAAGGATCCAACGAGGATCATCTCTCGTTATTCTGCGCACCCACAGCAACCCCGCCCAGTGCCCTACCCAGTGGCCCTTGGGCCTTTGCACTAACT